TGAAAAGATAGCGTTTTCTTCTGTCCTTTTCTCAATACGTATTTCAATGTTTAATACCGTAAAATAGTACATGAAAATTCAAAATTTCACAAACTTCAAATTGCTACAGAATATTTACTACTGAATATTAATAAGATATTTTTTTACTAAAATTTTTCTTAAATTCTACTCTACAAAATAGCTATCTTAGATTTTTTTTTTACTTTTTATTTAAAATTTTAAAATAATTAATATTTTTAATAAAATGTAAAAAAATTAATTATTGAGATATAGCTATAGACCTAACGTCTAACTAATATTTAAAAAAAAAATCAGCTAAAAATATTAACTGGATCAAAAGTAATTTAAGTTGTCAGTGAGTGGTGGGCCACCCTGTATATATAATTTCTAGAAATTTTAATCTAAAGTTTTTTTGTATAATATAATATAATAAGTTAAAATTTTTTTCTGTAACGTTATACAAATTGTAAATCAAAATTAGAAATATAATTTGCACTTTATAGTAAAATAAATAACTATAAATTATATCATTCAATTTTAAAATTAGATAAAAATAGAAAAGATATAAAATATCATAGATTACATATAAATATTGTAAGTATTGTAATATACTTTTGAAATTTTACAACCAAGAAAGTAATAAAATTTTGATATACAATCTATAATGTTGTCGATATTAATACTACATAATTTTTTTAACCTTCGTATATTTTTAGGATATAAATTTAACTTTATATGGAACATTTAAATTTTTATTAACAATTCCTTGTTTAAAATTCATTAAACTATAAAAAATAAAAAAGTCTGCTAATATAACTAATTTATATATATATATATATATATATATTTAATTTTTATTAATACAGAAATAAATACGTTTTTTATTTTAGCTTCGAAGAAAAGCTGGAAGATATTAATGAGAATAATTTGATAGTAGTGTGTATTGTGTACATTACTACTTTTTCTCATTTCTCATGGTACAATTTTTTTCAATGATTTATTAAAAAATGATAAATTGTATCTAGTTGAAGGCATTACCTTTAAAAGTTGAAAAATATACCCTTATTATTACGTATTAAACTGTGGCACTCTAATCTTTATTTTGAAATGTTAATAACTTCTGAAGTAATTTCAAAATCGTTAATAACTAGTCTTTTTCTTTTTTAATTATTTTATTAGCTAGTTAAATAGATATGTTGACATTTAAAAAATAATATTGATCCCCCCATATAAGTTATAAAAGATGAATTAAAAAAATATTTAAAGGAAATTTCTTAGTATAATTATTATTTTAAAAGAAATCGAGCGGCTAATATTTAAATAACCACTGTACATAACAATTTTATAATTTCTTCATAAAAAATAACAATACTAAACTATTAAATATTACTTTCATACTAATTGTAATTACTTTAATAAGTTTTAAATATTTATGGTTATTAATGTATTGTAGTGAAAATTATTAATAACAAAAACTTATACAAAAGTATTTTTTTGTAAATATAATTATAATTAATTAATATGACAATTAATATTATTCGATTAAACTAACAAAACAATCGATCACTTAACGCTCCAGCCCAGCACGGCGTAGGGTCAAGCACACACTGACTTATTTATCGATAGGCCTTATCGCCTTCATGACAATTACAGAATACTACAGCTCGGCCATCCTGACGATTGGTCGACCTCGAACAATAATATTTAGCGTACATAATTAATAAGAATAAGTTCGCATAAATTCACATATTCAATAAATAAATACATAATAAAATTAACAGTTAAATAACATTAATTAAATAATGATAACATACAATAATAATATTTATATAATAATAATGAGCAAATAATTAAAATAATAAACAAACTAAAATAAAATAAAATTCAATGTTAATGGGATCGAATCCAGTATTTAATATCCCTAGCGGCAATAATGGTATTTAAAGGAATTTGAGTGACCTGAAACCCCTCAATGTCAACTACGACATATCTATCATTAGGAAGTACTTTATGGATTTTATAGGGTCCTTTAAATTTGGGAATAAGTTTTTTACACACGTTAGGAGTTGTATCAATGTTCCTTATCATCGCCAAATCACCTACGTTATACTTAATTGCTTTTCGCCTTTTGACATCATAGTATATTTTATTACGCAGTTGTCCTTCTTCAATATTTTGCTGTGCATTATTTCTAATAATGTCAAAATCACGTTCTCCATTATTATCCGATAATGTTTCTAAATACAGTCGTACATAGTCGGCTATTTTGATATGATGAAATCCATCTTTTAAATCAATACAACTATAATACTGCTTACCACGAAGTAAATCGAGATTATCATCAATTATCTATCTATCTTTAACCATATGTTTGTTTATTTCGCGATAATCTATACAAAGACGGAGCTCACCGTTTTTCTTCTTATCTAAGATAATTGGACTACTATATTCTGACTGGCTAGGTCTAATTATTTTTCGACTTAACAAATCATCGATTATTAATTGTAACTGTTGTTTTTCAAAAAAAGAGAGACGCCTTGGACGGAAGTAAATTGGAACCTCAGTTTTTAATTTAATATGCAACAGCGGCGGATTTTCTAATTCAGTAGTTAGATCGGTCGCGTTATCGACAGTTAAATAACTGCGGGTATATACATCGATAATCTTTTGTCGGATGTTTAATGGCAATGTAGGCTCTACGATGATATCAATGCCATTACCATTATTATCGTCATTATGATATTCTAACGATAATATTTCGTCAAAGCGGTTTTCATTAGTGGTATTAAACGAGATAGTGAACTGCCCATCAATAATACGTACATCGACACGATTATGAGCCAAAAAATTTCGTCCGAGTAAACAATCGTTTTTAATCGTTCGGTCGGGCACTACACAGAACCGTAAACTGATAGGAACATTTAATTCGCCATTTAAAATTTCAGCCATGAACTCATCAACAATACATAGTGGTGACCCATTAATACCTACCAAACTACACTTAGAGGGAGTAATACCTGAGACATACGGAACAATACTAGATTTTAAAAGACTCACTGGACTACCAGTATCAATAAGAGCAGTAACATTAGAAATATTGCCATTGGGATATTTTATACGGATATCTAACATAAAGGGGGGTATAAAACAGTTATAATTATGTTCTAAAATTGATACATTCTCACCGCTGGAATCATTGGACCGTTGACTTCTAGGACACTGACGTGACTGATGCTCTCCGGACTGACAATGGTAACATGGACGACGTTCATCTCGACGAGCTGGACATGAACTTGAATAGTGGCTAATGGACCCACAATTGAAACACCTAACATTGGCGTTCTGATTTCTTGGACGGCTGGATATCCTCGGCGTAGACTGACTAGATTGAATTGGTGGACTGGATGGTCTAGGCTCAATAGCAGGGAGCTCTCGATTAAAAGATACTCTAAATCTATGTGGGCTGGTAAATGGCGTGTAACGACTCTTAATTGATCCTTCGACTCGGAAACGGTCTTGACGAGCATTATCAATTTTTTCATAATTTCTTATGTCAGTTAAAAGTTCATCTTCGTTTTTATGATCACGAGCAAGCAAGTAGTGACATAAATCCCTTGAAAACAAACCTTCCACTATCTGTCGTTTACTTTCATCAAACGTAAGGTTAATGTCACTGCAAAGTTGCATTTTGTGATGAAAATATTCAAAAACGCAATCATTCTTTAACTGTAATCGATTAGACATGAGACGAACTCGATCGACTGTATCGAGTCGGCATCCAACAAACGTTCTGGTAAATTGTTCAATAAAACTATTCCAATCGGCAAACTGGCGCGAAGAGTACCAATATTTGGATGGGCCAATTAACTTTAACCGCACAAGTTCGAGTTTAAAGTTATCGGGCCAGCAATGTAATTTAGCCACACTTTCAACTGATTGAAGCCAAAGCTGAGCGTCCCTAGCTGCCTCGCGGCCTGTAAAGTTACTGATACTGTTATTGAAATCGGGCATGATGAAATATCCTTGAGATGGGGGAACGGGTGGTGCTGTATTGTTATCTGAGTTTTGATTATTCCTCGATAGTAACTGCTGCATTAGAAGATTATTTTGAGTGACCAGTGTAGCCACTATATCACGCAGATCAGCCGCGCTGTTATGAGCGTTAAAGTTCGTCTCACCTTCCGGCTCTATAATGAGAGGGGATGTGCTGCCGCCTGACATTGCGTCTCTGACGTCACTTGCTGGTAAAACCGACTGACTCCGTAGCCGCATGGACTTAATAACCTCGAACGAACTGGATAAATTCNTGGACTTTATAACCTCGAACAAACTGGATAAATTCAAAACTCGCAAAAATATTTAAGTTGCATACAATATCACGGAAACAATTAAAACATAAATTAATCACTTCGAATAAAACTTATCTAACTCAACGAAGCAACGAACGAACAACGATACAATAAACGGACAATAACCGGCATCGGCTAACGGTCTACCCCACACCTGAATTTGTAGTGAAAACTATTAATAACAAAAACTTATACAACTACACATTAAAAGTATTTTTTTGTAAATATAATTATAATTAATTAATATGACAATTAATATTATTCGATTAAACTAACAAAACAATCGATCACTTAACGCTCCGGCCCAGCACGGCGGAGGGTCAAGCACACACTGACTTATTTATCGATAGGCCTTATCGCCTTCATGACAATTACAGAATACTACAGTATTATACTTATAAATCATAAAGCTTTAATCAGAATAAATTTTAGGAAATAGGAGTTAATGTTGATTTTGGAATGATTCAATAATTCCTTCTAAAATATAAACACTATTTACACATTTGCATTAAACCATTTTTTATGAAAGTTATTGAACCGTTACCGTACATCATCTATACTTGTCCCCACTGTGCTGGGTTGGTTTTTTTTAAGTTCGTCTTATTTAGCACATTTAAAAAACTTTTGAAAAATAAAAAAAGAAGTTGATTATTAACCCAAACTTAAAATAACAATAATAATTGATTGAAACTATTATCAATTCTAATTAGCCAATATAGCTTACAACTTATACAATTGTCATCAAAAACATATATATTAGTAAATGTAATCATTTTTAATGCTTAAAAATTACTTTTTTGAAAAGATAAGATTTTTTTTGGCCCTTTTTAGTCACATATTAGAGTTTATATCACATAAATTAAACTAAATCCTTCCGACCATTTATAAATTCATCGGATGGATTTTTACTACACTTTCATTAAATTAGTTTTTGATAATAATTTTAAATGCATAATAATCTACGCTAATTAATTTACTTGTAAAAACAATGTGATAACATTGTCAAAATCGATGTGAGCTCAAGTCGGCACATGTTACCGTACTTTAATTGGTTTTTCGTTGATATCATATTGACGTAATAAAAATTGATCACTTGTAGATTTATAAAAAAATGTACCAAATGTTAGGTAAAGACATCATGCATCTAAAAAAAAAGAATTATATTGATCCAAACATCTTTCAAAAAGTTATAGCATTATAAAGTTAAAAATATAAAAAAGAATTTTTTTACAAATATCGTGTTTTTTTTATCAACTTTGATGTCTGTTTTTATTATGAAGATAGTATAAAATCCGAAATTTTTTCTTACCATAATAAAGTATATTACATAAGCTTTAATTTAAGATATATATAAAAGTGTCAGTATTTTCGGAACACTTTCAAAATACAAGTTGAAAAAGTTCTACTTTCTATATGCATTTTTATGTTTTCAACCCCCCCTATATTAAGGGAAATGGTCTGATTTAAAAAAACAGTATGTTAAATGAAAGATGTATATAAATAATACTTCTTATGAAAAAATTGTATTGATCCATACATTTTTCAAAAAGTTATAGCATAATAAAATTAAAAATGTAAAATACAAAATCGAGAATTTTTACACAAAAATAGCATTGGGTAGCCATTTTCATCGTGAAGATAAAATAAAGTCCGAAATTTTTTTTTCCATAAAAAAGTATATAACATTAGCTTTAATTTATGATACATATAAAAGTGTCAGTACTAAAAAGTTGTCATTTTCAAAAAAAAACCCAGCACAGGGGGGTCGCGGTACAATGTACAATTTACAAGTGTAAATTTATCAAAAATAATAAAAGCATGTCTAATTTTCTTCGAGCCATCGTTAGTTGATTTAAATTTTAGTTTTGAAATTGAATTTATCATAAATCATTGTAGTGATGTCAAAGTCAAAAAAAGTTGGTAGGCAAAACATTTTTTAATTTAATATCGATACCTACTCGTCAATAATTGTATTGATCTTTTTTTTATTAAATGAATCTGTTTATTTTTATCTCAAAAGTTGTTATCAACTTATCGTTTACTTAATTAGATAATTTTCTTAATTTTAAGATAGTTATTCATTTAAAAAATTAAGTTTATACTACTTTTATGTGGAAAGAAAGGGGATAGGACCAATTTGTTTTTTTTTTTTTTTAATATTAGAACATAAGATACTATGAATTTCTGAAAAGGAAAAATTGTAATATTTTTATACTTTCTAATGAATAATAATTTAGTTAAAATATTATAACAACCTAAGTGGACTGTATATAAAAGAATTCACAATTCTACAATGTGATAATTAAAGTTTTTATAAAACAGTAAGTAATATTTTATAAAACAAAATAATTTTTATTTAAAATAACATTATTACAATAGCAATAAACTATTAATATTTCAACAATGAAATATACATATTAGTATTAACATAGTATTATACACTTTTATATTGTAAATTAACTAAAAAACTACTTAATTTAATAGACCCTAATTCCCCAAAAGGTAATTAATATTTCTCTGACGCTAATTCACGTGTGCCATTCTAAGTTTTACTGATATGAAGCAAATATGCTTAGAAAAAATTACTATCACACAGAAAAATGACTAGAAAAGAAATTCATGTTACAGGGTTCTATGGCATTCACTGAATGGTATTAATAAATTTAATGAAAGAAATTTCCAAAAACTTGAAACTATAACAATACAACGAATAAAAAATTTACAAATTTTACTGCAAAAAAAAACCGACATAGTTTTCAAAAAAATATATACCATACAATGAATAGGTCCTTTTCTTGTATAGCATAAAACCTATATCTGTTTTACTTTAATTTCTATCATATTAAGAAATATATAACTGCAAAAATTTACTACTTATCTCCCCTGCGGTAGAACAAACAGATGACCGGGTCATCCATACGTGCTAACATACTGCCCCGTTGAATGTTCAACTTTCAACTATCTTAAGTTAACATCTCATTTCAACATTTATTTATTTAATAAATCAAATATTTCTAAAGACTAACAATAGAGATCTTTAATACTTTGTAAAAGTAATGCAATATCTAAAATTGTAGTTTTATCGTTATATTCCTAATATACTTGGCTAGATATAATTTGTGATCTGAAAATTAATGGCCAGAGATACAAATAATTAAAAAGATTAAAACATCATAGTAAAACTAATAGTTTCGCAACTTATTCTGTGCTGGTTGATATATGTTACTAACGAAAATAAACAATATTTGTAGTTTAATGTAGAAAATATTAGTTAGCTTATAAGAAACTTGTTAATAGTTACTACGGATTCACTTTTTATTTCCTATATAAGCAAACAAATTTTACAAATACAATTAGTTCTTTGAAAATTTTTAATTTGAAGTGACTATCTTCTTAATAATTAACAATTATTGTTCTCAAAGCTAACATCGAGCAAAACTTTAATTTTTTATTTTTTAAATAATCCATAACGATGAAAACGAAGACTCAGAGATTGTTTGCTCAACTTAAGCGTTTACGTGAAAATCCTACTTATCCGTTTATAACGCCATTTTTCGTCAATTTACACAACTGTATTAATAACAAGTCTGTTATTGTGTCCACTAGAAAGAGTTTACCAAAGGCCAATCCAAAATGTTCGTCAACCAAATCTATATCCGAAAAACCGCAATTGAAGAATCCACACGGCGTTCTTGTTAAATCGACTTCGACACATATTAACAAATCATCTCCAGAGAAAAAAGTCGTCGTCGATGGTAATGAAACGGACGCAGTCGGACCCCAGCCAAGATCAAGTTCGATAAAGCTTAGATCTAAGTCGGGAATTCCGACGGAACCTTCTAATAATTCATGCTCGTCGAAAAGATCAAACGCTTTCGACGACAATGGGTCTTCTAAGAGACCTAAATACTCGAGCTCTGTCGAGTTACGGCCTAGTGCGAACGGGTCTGAAAAAAGAATGATCCTAAAGTCAAAGACCATTTCTTCAGCGTCAGATTCGGTAAATGAATCTCAGATCTCGCAGGATTACAAAAGCGACTACGATTATAATGGTATAATTTTGATTTATTTGCTACGAAACACATTTGCAATAATTGTATTTTTAATTTCTATATATTTTTTAATTCAACAGGGCTTTCTTCTAGCTCAGCACAACCTACTGACCGGCTTAAAAATCTGCCCACAAAGAAAAGCTCGAAAGCTATCTTAGAGGCAAAACCGTCTAAGAAAATTGTTTACTCGAGCGCCGTCGAATTCCACTCGGCCCTTGATAATAAATCCAATGGTAAAATCATGTTGAAAATCACAAAAAAACCTTCTTCGGAAAAATAATTTCTAATTCCTAAGGTCCGACTACAATTTTAATATTCTCATAATTTTTTTTTACTTAATATTTAAGATATTCTAATTTTTTTATTTGTTACACATATTGTCTCTTACTTTTTTCCAATAATTTTTTTATACTAATCATGTAATATTTATTGATTTTCTATACCTTAAATTTGTTTTTAACTTAATAATTAATTTGTTACTATAACTATTTTTAATAAATGTATACAAATATCAGTGATTCTGTTGTATTTAATACTGGCACGTTCAGAAATTAGAAATAATAGTATTTAAGTTAGTAAATAAATCAGTATTTTCACTATTATTATTAAATAATGTATTTTAGTATTTTCGCTTATGTTGGTTCATATAATATATAATTACTTATGAAATTAAAAAGCAATTTTTATCGTTTTTCAAACAAAAGATAACATTCTTTTCATATAAAATTATATAATTGTATAGTAGTTCACAAAATTATGTGTTATTATTAAAGTTAATTTGAACAATTACTGAAGTAAATCAGATTAAAGTTCTTTTAGCGGTTGTGCTAGCAAGTTATAGTTAACTAGCACAATCTACGTGATAAATTTTTAATTATCGCGATTTGCTTTATTTTGTTACAACCTGTTTTCTGTATAATTCTGCACAATATGTTTTATGTTTGGCTACAGTGACAAAGCCACTCCAAAAGGATCGTAATGAAAGGTTTGGTTAACAAAGAGCGTTAAACTTTTGAGCTTATATAGGTTATTAATTAATAGGATACGTTGAAAATATATGTTATTTGTGTTATATTACTGATGCTTAATGAACCACGTTAAATGTATATCAAATAACTATGTTGTGTGCGAGGCAGCTAGACCGTAGGACGGCTAGTTGTGCACCGCACTAGAATGCCGTTTTATCTTAAACCTGTTTAAAAAACGTTATTATTGATACGGGAGTGAGTCACCTAGGAGATGACGGCTAACTATACATCCAATAAGTAAACGAGAGTAGACAATAATTAAATAACAAATAA